CTTGCCTGCTGATGATGGGGTATGGCAGCCTTACTTCTGTCAGTGCGCCCCAGGGCAGCTGTGGCTACAATGTAGCTCACCACTGTGTCGGTGTGTGAATGTGTGTATGAATGGGTGGATGACTGAATGTAGTCTGAAGCGCTTTGGGGTCTCTGGGGACTTGATAAAACGCTATACGAGTACAGGCCATTTACCATTTACCATTCATTATTGTAGGCTATAGAAAAGTACTTAAATATCAGTTGTACAAGAAGGTACGAAGTTACAATAAATCAGGTATGGACTCATGCAAGGACCATAGCAGAGGGCCCATTTCACCCACACAAAAATGAACAAATTCGGGTGAAATGACCAATATCCAGTGAAATAACAGTCACAAAAAAATCATAGCTGGATTATTTTCCTGCTTTTGTGTATTTTTTTTTCACTATAGAGTTTAGCTCCCTTTTAAAGCAAACTGTGGCAGTAAAGAGAATAACATGCCACATGAATACTTCCTCTGTTTATCTTTTCGGTAAAATTGATAACTAAGAAAAAGTTGCATCAAAATATGCAATTTACAAATAAATCTGAGTTATGTGTATTGCAATTCAAAATGAAATCTTATTAGATGTCTACAGGAACAATTTCCAAAAAGGTGAGGTGAGCAAGTAGTAAACCTCTACCGCAATACTTTGTAAATGCTGACATCCAGTGGCTATACAGTACAACTACACCTACATTAGAGAAGTAGCATTGATTGATTGATTGATTGCACACAATTGGACATTTTTACAAGGATGTAACAAGATTTTGGAGAGCCATTATATGTGAAATTATTTACAGCCATTTTATGATCAAGACATGTTGATGGACAGCCTCAGTCATGAGACAGCTATTCTAGCTACACTGAAGGATTGATCATATTAAACTGATTGGCTGATCAATCTTCCATGATGACTCCCTTAGCTGGAAGCCCTGTGAAGGATCACACTGTGGTTTCGCCCACAGTCTTATTTCTGAACATAGCTATGTTGGGAAAGTGTACAACTATAGGTCAGAAGATCCCTGGGTCAATCCTGGGTTTTGGCAAGATACTGATTCTCTATTGTGTCTGTGACTACCTTTCTATTTCTGGTTTGTATATCGTTGTTCTTTGTGTTGCTGATTGGAATTTTACTGGTAGTTATCCACACAGTTGTGTTGATTGCTTGTTCTGCTTGTGATTGGCTGAGTTGTTTTCTGTCCTGTGTATAGTTTGGAATCAAGATATTTGATAAAAGAGGTCCACATTTAGAAGAAAACGTCCAATTAATTAATAGAAAGTTGCACCATTGAACAGAGTCCAACTAATAGCTGCATGAAAAAAAGCTTTATATGAACTCAACATGTTTTTTCGGGTTTGTTAAATTTTAAGATACTCTGTAAGGACATTTTGACAGCATCATACTTTTCTAAGTTCAAAATAAAGCAATGCTTGTCACAGAAGAAACTGAAAATTAAACGCTGAGGTTTCATCTGCTTGTCCTGAAATCACTCATCATCATCTGTGTGTCGTTAGCTAGTTAAGCTCTGATTGGTCAGAGTTGGTCTCTGACAATATTTATAAAGCCTCATGCTGCTATTGCTTGTCACTGCTGGTCTTTAATATGATGGCTTTTCATGTCCTACTGGGCTATGTTGCTGGTTTACTTTTCTGCAGCTGACTTTTTAATTTAAGTTGATCATTTTTGTTTTTTCTTGATTTCAGGGCTTCCCTCTTTGCTTTGCTGTTTCTGGATGTTTATGGTGTTCCTGTCAAAGGTATAATAATATGCATGTTGACTAAAGTAAACAAATGTAAGTAACAAATCTTTGGCATCTAGGTTCAGTACCTCAACACCAGAGCAGCAGTGGCACCAATGCAGGGGGTAACGTTGCCTCTCACGCAAGAGCATCTGCTGGCCACACTGTACCTGTGCCCCACAATGCTCCTGCAGGTGTTTTCAAGCAAGATCCCAGACCATCCCAAACTTTGCAGTCGGAGCCTGTGTTTGTCGGTGTGAGCGCCATGCCTGCAGCAGGACACACTACTAGTGCTGGTTCTGTTCCTGTTCAAGCAGCATATGTTCAGAATCAGAATCAGCTTTATTGCCAAGTATGTACATACAAACAAGGAATTTGACTCCGGTACACTTTGCTCTTTGTTTTTTTTTTTGCACTACAGCATATACATATTTACAATGTACAAATATACACATATATAAATAAAAAGGTGCATTTGCAACATCTGTATGCTGTTGTTTTGTACTCTATTGAATGTTCAACAGAGAAACAGCCTGAGGGAAGAAACTGTCTCTGTGGCGGCTGGTTTTAGTGAACAGCGCTCTGTAGCGTCGGCCTGAAGGCAGAACTCTAAACAGTTTATGTGCAGGGTATGTGGGGTCTGCAGAGATTTTAGCAGCTCTTTTCCTGACCTGTATAAGTCCTGGATGGAGGGAAGTTCAGTCCTGATGATTCTCTCTGCAGACCTGATTATTTGTTGCAGTCTGGACCTGTCCTGTTTTGTGGATGAACCAAACCACACTGAGATGGATGAAGACAGGACAGACTGAATGATGGCAGTGTAGAAGATGACCAGCAGCTCCTGTGGAAGGTTGTACTTCTTGAGTTGCCTCAGGGAGTACAGTCTCTGCTGGGCCTTCTTTCGAACAGTGTCTATGTGTGAAGACCATCTCAGGTCTCCAGAGATGGTGGTTCCTAAGAACCTGAAGTGATCCACAGCCGATACAGTGTTGTTGAGGATGGTGAGGGGGGTGTATGGGGTCGGTGTTTTCCGAAAGTCCACTACCATCTCCACAGTCTTGAGTGGGTTTAGTTCCAGGCAGTTCTGACTACACCAGTGTATCAGGCGATCCACCTCCTGTCTGTATGCAGACTCATCACTGTCCTGGATCAGTCCAATGACAGTGGTGTCATCTGCAAACTTAGGGAGTTTCACGGACGAGTCCGCTGAGGTGCAGTCATTTGTGTACAGGGAGAAGAGGAGTGGGGAGAGAACACACCCCTGGGGGGCACCAGTACTTATTGATCTGGTTCGGGAGAAGATGCTCCCCAGTCTCACCTGCTACTGTCGGTCCGTCAGGAAGCTGTTGATCCACTGACAGGTGGAGGCTGGGACGTTAAGCTGGGTGAGCTTCTGGTGGAGGATGTCTGGTATGATGGTGTTGAAGGCCGAGCTGAAGTCTACAAACAGGATCCTGAAGAAACAGAAAGAAAAAAAAAAACAACCTGTCAACTGCTTTGGAAACTCTCTATATGAGTGCTCAACCCTCAAATCAGGAGATTTTCCAGAAAGGTGCAAAGTTTCATAAAATATCAGGAAGCAGGTGAGCTTGTAATGTCTTTCCTCTTCTACAGTGAGAAAACCACCTCACATTTGACCTCCTGAAAATATCATCAAGTACGAAACTATCCACAGTGTGTTTTCAATAATCGGGACCAATTCCACAAGCTTTACATTTTAGCTGTTGCTTTCTAGAAAAGAATATTTACATGTTTTAGCAAAGCAGTAACAGGAACACCAGCCCCTGTTTTGACATAGCTATTTCAACTACACTGAAGGATTGCTGATGTGTCTGGGGCCTTAAAAGGTCTTCTATGTTCTAATAAAGTTTACACTGATGTGAATTCACTTTGGGTTGATCAGTCTGTAGTTAATACTCCCAGATCTGGATGCATGTGAACCGCCCACGTGTGGAAAGTGGAAAACTCCTTCCTGCCGAAATAGCTCAGTTGGGAGAGCGTCAGACTGAAGATCTGAAGGTCCCTGGTTCAATCCCTGGGTTTGGCAAAGGATCTACTTGTTTTAGTATTTTTTATTTAGGAAGCTTGGTACTCTGAAGAAACAGAAAAAAAAAAAAAACAACCTGTCAACTGCTTTGGAAACTCTCTATATGAGTGCTCAACCCTCAAATCAGGAGATTTCCAGAAAGGTGCAAAGTTTCATAAAATATCAGGAAGCAGGTGAGCTTGTAATGTCTTTCCTCTTCTACAGTGAGAAAACCACCTCACATTTGACCTCCTGAAAAATATCATCAAGTACGAAACTATCCACAGTGTGTTTCAATAATCAAGGCCAATTCCACAAGCTTTACATTTTAGCTGTTGCTTTCTAGAAAAGAATATTTACATGTTTTAGCAAAGCAGTAACAGGAACACAGCCCCTGTTCTGACATAGCTATTCTAACTACACTGAAGGATTGCTGATGTGTCTGGGGCCTTAAAAGGTCTTCTATGTTCTAATAAAGTTTACACTGATGTGAATTCATTGGTTGATCAGTCTGTAGTTAATACTCCCAGATCTGGATGCATGTGAACCGCCCACGTGTGGAAAGTGGAAAACTCCTTCCTGCCGAAATAGCTCAGTTGGGAGAGCGTCAGACTGAAGATCTGAAGGTCCCTGGTTCAATCCCGGGTTTTGGCAAAGGATCTACTTGTTTAGTATTTATCATTGTCAGGAAGCTTGGTACTCTGAAGAAACAGAAAAAAAAAACAACCTGTCAACTGCTTTGGAAACTCTCTATATGAGTGCTCAACCCTCAAATCAGGAGATTTCCAGAAAGGTGCAAAGTTTCATAAAATATCAGGAAGCAGGTGAGCTTGTAATGTCTTTCCTCTTCTACAGTGAGAAAACCACCTCACATTTGACCTCCTGAAAAATATCATCAAGTACGAAACTATCCACAGTGTGTTTCAATAATCGGGACCAATTCCACAAGCTTTACATTTTAGCTGTTGCTTTCTAGAAAAGAATATTTACATGTTTTAGCAAAGCAGTAACAGGAACACAGCCCCTGTTCTGACATAGCTATTCTAACTACACTGAAGGATTGCTGATGTGTCTGGGGCCTTAAAAGGTCTTCTATGTTCTAATAAAGTTTACACTGATGTGAATTCATTGGTTGATCAGTCTGTAGTTAATACTCCCAGATCTGGATGCATGTGAACCGCCCACGGTGGGAAAGTGGAAAACTCCTTCCTGCGAAATAGCTCAGTTGGGAGAGGCGTCAGACTGAAGATCTGAAGGTCCCTGGGTTCAATCCCGGTTTGGCAAAGGATCTACTTGTTTAGTATTTATCATTGTCAGGAAGCTTGGTACTCTGAAGAAACAGAAAAAAAAAAAAAAACAACCTGTCAACTGCTTTGGAAACTCTCTATATGAGTGCTCAACCCTCAAATCAGGAGATTTCCAGAAAGGTGCAAAGTTTCATAAAAATATCAGGAAGCAGGTGAGCTTGTAATGTCTTTCCTCTTCTACAGTGAGAAAACCCACCCCCACATTTGACCTCCTGAAAAATATCATCAAGTACGAAACTATCCACAGTGTGTTTCAATAATCAGGGACCAATTCCACAAGCTTTACATTTTAGCTGTTGCTTTCTAGAAAAGAATATTTACATGTTTTAGCAAAGCAGTAACAGGAACACAGCCCCTGTTCTGACATAGCTATTCTAACTACACTGAAGGATTGCTGATGTGTCTGGGGCCTTAAAAGGTCTTCTATGTTTTTAATAAAGTTTACACTGATGTGAATTCATTGGTTGATCAGTTTATTTAATACTTCTCAATCGGGATGTGAATTCATTGGTTGATCAGTCTGTAGTTAATACTCCCAGATCTGGATGCATGTGAACCGCCCACGTGTGGAAAGTGGAAACTCCTTCCTGCCGAAATAGCTCAGTTGGGGAGCGTCAGACTGAAGATCTGAAGGTCCCTGGTTCAATCCCGGGTTTCGGCAAAGGATCTACTTGTTTAGTATTTATCATGTCAGGAAGCTTGGTACTCTGAAGAAACAGAAAAAAAAAAAACAACCTGTCAACTGCTTTGGAAACTCTCTATATGAGTGCTCAACCCTCAAATCAGGAGATTTTCCAGAAAGTGGCAAAGTTTCATAAAATATCAGGAAGCAGGTGAGCTTGTAATGTCTTTCCTCTTCTACAGTGAGAAAACCACCTCACATTTGACCTCCTGAAAATATCATCAAGTACGAAACTATCCACAGTGTGTTTCAATAATTTGGCCAATTCACAAGCTTACATTTAGCTGTTGCTTTCTAGAAAAGAATATTTACATGTTTTAGCAAAGCAGTAACAGGAACACAGCCCCTGTTCTGACATAGCTATTCTAACTACACTGAAGGATTGCTGATGTGTCTGGGGCCTTAAAAGGTCTTCTATGTTCTAATAAAGTTTACACTGATGTGAATTCATTGGTTGATCAGTCTGTAGTTAATACTCCCAGATCTGGATGCATGTGAACCGCCCACGTGTGGAAAGTGGAAAACTCCTTCCTGCCGAAATAGCTCAGTTGGGAGAGCGTCAGACTGAAGATCTGAAGGTCCCTGGTTCAATCCCGGGTTT